GACAGATCACCATCCCCACACCTCCTTTTACAGAAAGAGCCACGAGTCAACACCTCAAGCATTTCAGTAAGACCCGCTGGAGGGAAGGGATGCCATCCAGAGGGACCTGGACAGGCTGGAGAGGTGGGCCCAAGCCAACCTCATGAAGTTCAACCAGGCCAAGTGCACGGTCCTACATCTGGGTCGGAGCAATCCCCAGCACAACTCCAGGCTGGGTGGGGAATGGCTGGAGAGCAGCCCTGAGGAGAAGGACCTGGGGGTGCTGACTGACCAGAAGCTCAACATGAGCCAGCAATGGGTGATTGCAGCCCAGAAGGCCAACCATATCCTGGGCTGCATCAGAAGAAGTGTGGCCAGCAGGTCAAAGGAGGTGATTCTGCCCCTCTACTCCACTCTCGTGAGACCCCACCTGGAGTATTGTGTCCAGCTCTGGAGTCCCCAACATAAGAAGGACATGGACCTGCTGGAGCGTGTCCAGAGGAGGCCCTGGAGATGCTGCGAGGGCTGGAGCACCTCTTCTGTGAGGAGAGGCTGAGAGAGTTTGGGGTGTTCAGCCTGGGGAAGAGAAGGCGCCGGGGAGACTTTATTGCGGCCTTCCGGTACCTCAAAGGGGCTCCAGGAGAGCTGAAAGGACTTTTTACTGGGGCATGTAGTGAGATAGGATGAGGGGTAATGGATTTAAACTGGAAGAGGGCAGGTTTAGATTAAACATTAGGAAGAAGTTTTTTACTTTGAGGGTTATAAGGCACTGGAACAGGTTGCCCAGCGAGGTTGTTGAGGCCCCATCCCTGGAGGTGTTCAAGGCCAGGCTGGACGTGGCCTTGGCCAACCTGGGCTGGTGGGAGGTGTCCCTGCCCAGGGCAGGGGGGTTGGAACTTGATGATCTTCAAGGTCCCTTCCAACCTAAACCATTCTATGATTCTATCATTCTGTCAAAGGAGAGGGAGGCAAAATAGTCTAATGCAGTAAAAAGGAGAAAGAATACTGAGAAAGTTTAAGGCTTTTCACTTGTGCCATTTCTTCCTCTCTTTTTCATTCAATGGCACATTAATAAGAATGCTTTACAGTTCAGAAGGGGTTGGAATTTGAATCATTTCATCATAATTCCACGTCAAAAATTCTCTCGCCCAAGTCTTACCAGGAAATATAACTGGCAATTGGCAAAACACCAAACAAGTAGCACGGGAATGCATAACAAAATGCTGAACACAAATCACTGCAAGAAAAACAACAAACTAAACACACAGAAAAACCACAACTTAATTCTTAGGTATGGGGAGTACCCAAGAGTGAGAAACACTACGGAAGACAAACAAGGCAATGCTATTGCAAGCATATCTTCTTTTTTCCCTTCTGTAAGGGCAACAGCCTCTCTACAAACGGCTCAGGAGCTGACCTGTGCCGAAACGTAGTGTAAGGGAGCGAACTGGTAACCAGTAATGGGCACACAGCGCTGAAGTCTAAGCCAAGCATCACGCTGAACTCAGCAGCGCAGAAAGCCGCCTTCCACTTGATTGGGTCTCCAGGATATTTACAATTTTGAACAGCTATCTGAGAAAGTGACCGAAGGAAGCAAGTCAAGGGACAGACACCAAAGAAGTACCAAGTTACAGCTGCCGCAGGTGACACAGAACCTCATGTTTCACGGGAGTTCAGTCACTGCAACCTTGTTTTTAAAAACAAAACCTTAGACTGCACAAATCTTGCTGAAGCCAAGGGAAGCTGCACAGAAACTTTTGCACATGTGATCCAAACAAAACCAATTATTTCAAAACAGTGCAGAAAGCACACGTCTGGTGAGGAGCAGCTGAGGGACCTGGGGGTGTCCAGCCTGGAGAAGAGGAGGCTGAGGGGAGACCTTCTCGCTCTCGACAGCTCCCTGACAGGAGGGGGGAGCGAGGGGGGGTCGGTCTCTGCTCCCAAGGAACAGGCGATGGGACAAGAGGGAACAGCCTCAAGTTGCACCCGGGGAGGTTTAGGATGGATATTAGGAGAAATTTCTTCCCCGAAAGGGTTGTCAAGCACTGGCACAGGCTGCCCAGGGGCGTGGGGGGGTCCCCATCCCTGGAGGGATCAAAGGATGTGTAGATGTGGTGCTGAGGGACATGGGTTAGTGGTGGGTTTGGCAGTGCTGGGTTAACAATTAGACTTGATGATCTTAAAAGTTCCCTTCCAACCTCAACAATTCTATGATTCTACGAAACAGAGACTCCATCGGTACCTGCAGAGAACAATAACAAATCCTCTGACCCACTCCTTTGTCCTTCCACCTCAGCCCTCCTACAGCAATGGTTTTTGCTGTTACCACTTCAGCTCAAGTGGCAAAATCCCTACCGTAGAGTTAACTAGAGGTTCCAGACCTAGTAAGAAGTCATGGAGCATAACCACAATACCACAATAGAAATTACCCTAACATTTGGACCCGTTGTTAAAACTACAATGACACCAAGATGAAAGAATGAAAGCTTCTCTTTTTGAAAGCTTCTCGCTCCCCACCCTCTATTTTAAACACTTTCATACTTTAAAAGGATACAAAATGAGTCCTTAGTATTCTTTAAGGCATAAAGCATCAGCCCCTCTACTAGATGATATTGAAGAAAAGGTCAGCAAACCAAAAGGACTGGACTGTTAAAATTTATCAATTCAGCAGCAACAGGAAAAAACAAAGCCACTGTGAATTTCTCAGAAATTACTAAAAATCTAAATATCAAAGTACACATGGTATGTTCCAATATTAGCTACAGCTTTTTTCCTAACATATAATAATATAAAAAGGCCTGCAAATGTAACCATATAGTAGGCTATTTGCTTTGATAATACAATGCTCGACACATTTAGATACCTTCCATCAAGGTAGTAGAAAATTCCCCCTAATCAGCAAGGCCACCTTATAAAAGTTGATCCTAAATCCATATAACATTAAGGCTTTTTTGTTGTGTTTTTTTGTTTGGTTGGGTTTTTTTAACACCCCCCCCCTCCCCCTCGTTTTCTGGTTATTGCCGATAGGAATGCATGAATTTCTGCAGGGACAGTATGTGAGACACGTGCTTATGGAGAGAATTTAGGGTATTTGGCAATAAGCACAGCCATGCACTACTGACTGTACATACGTTATTCCTTCCCCACTTTCAGTTTCGCTGAAGAGCTCTAGAACAAGAAGCTATCATAAAAGCAGCTTCTTGTTTTACCAGGTTTGTTTGACAATAGGGAAACAAAACAGATGGAAGCAATGCAACATGATCAAAGGTAATTTATGATAATAGAACTTGCACAAGAGTTCCTGATACCACCTTTATTTAAGCTCCTCGGGGCGCCTCTTTTTAATCTATTAGCATATATTAACTAAATTTGACAAGAAAACAGAGGTATCAAAAACATGAAGATCCTACAAGGTCTAGTGAGAAGGGTACCTCATAAAGAAGAACGACCTTATTAGCTACCAACTCAAGGAAAGGTTAATAAACTGAGCCTCTGGGTGCAGAACCTCTCCTGACTGCACTGGACAGTATTCACTGCCCATGTAAATCTCAGATTCTGTCTGGTTTCTTTACCAAGTGAATATAGTCTGAAGAATCTCTCGTGTCACAGGTTATATAAACATGAGTATAAAACTAGCTGTTTTCATTAACATGGAAATAACAAAGCCTGTCTTCCAAATCCAACTTGATAAATAGACTGCCTTATCTTTTTTTTTTTTTTTTTGGGGGGGGGGGGCGGGTTGGTTTTTTTTTGTTTAAGAAATCTGCTCAAAATGCTGTTTAGGTATGCTGAAGAGTTTCAATGATCAAGTTAGAGCCAGTATTTGGGTTTTAAAAGAAAACTTGCAAAGAAAAAAATATTCATGACCGGCCCTAGAACTTAAAACCAAATGAGAAGTCACTTGCACCACCTGCAGCAGGAGAGGTGTGCGAATGAGCTTTCTGAACACCCAGGAAAAGAACATGTAAGAAGAAACTCAAGTTTTGAAGAACATTTCTAACTTTATACATTCCTTTCCAAAACTAACTACTGCTGAAAATCAGTCTTCCCTCATTTGTCATCTCAAAAATGCTTTCCCCTGTTTTTAACATAACCTTGACTTTCCACTTGAGCTGACGGCACTACGTTATTGAGCACCATTCCATCAACAAACAAAAGTTTACCTTCACTTATAACAGCTAACGGGTTTTTAGAGTGTAAGATTTGTTTTGTACTCAGCAAGCATTCTGCAACGCTATCTTTGCTGCCAGATCCATCTCTAACTACACAATTTTGCAACACAATTTGCAGATCCCTGAGGCTATCCTACAAAGTCTTAAAATTAAGAACTCCAGGTAAAGCTATTGCATGAGCTGGAATTAGCCCTGAACTTTAACTAGCTTTTGAAGGGCATGGGAAATTAATCTGCTGCTTTATAAAACCAATTCTAAACAAGGCTGCTGGTGGCGAGTCCTACAAAGAAAGGTCAGTTAAGGATTACATCATTGATCTGTTTCAGTTCATGTCTCTAAACAAAAGAAACAGGTTAACTGCAAAGAAACAGCATTCGGGAAATGGAAGTGATTTGTCTTCTTAGATACTAGCAAAAGCCACAAATTCCAGATGGTCTAAGGTCTCAGTTTGTGTTTTACAGAATTCTTACTTAAATACAGTATTTGACAGGTATGTACAAAGTTTAAAAACGCCATTATTCAGTCATCTGCGTGCATTATACGTGAATAAACTAACAGGGAAAGGAAGGTTTCCTGTGCTTGCTACAGCAGCGTCAGGAAGAAAGGAGGAAAGAATCCTTATAGTTAATCTGATTGTTGTTTGGTTTTTTTTTTCCTAAACAATGCACTGGCATAATGGTCTTAACAATTAGAATAGCCAATAATGAGAACTGCATCCTTGCTGCTAAAAATCAAAGCACTGTATAGAAATCACTTTATACCCTTAAAAATTATTGCACACCTAAACACAGCAACTCCCAACCGCAGCAGCACAAGTTCCTTACATTACTAGACTTTTGAAATACGTACCAGCTATCTTCTTCTTCATTGCAGTTTTCAAGTTCTAACACTTTCACTTCATCCAGATGTGTGTTATTCGAAAGACTGTCTAGATCTCCACATTTTTCATTGGTATTTTGTTCGTTTATTTTGACTGAGGAATCAATACCTGCAATGACCAAGTTTCCCATAAGCTCTGTGCTATTACTTGTATCCACCCGTGAAGAACATCTAATGTTATCATCAGCCTTTGTTTCCGCCTCGCATGTGCTGGAAGACAATTCCTCAGTGGCACTGTTGCAACTATACTGCATTTGGGCATCTATGTCTTTTCTCAGGCAGTTGTTCTCTCCTTCCTCTTTTCTCATTTTGCTTAATTGGTTGTGCAGATCTGCCATTATTTGCAATTCTTGCTTCTCAGTTATCGCGTTGATGCTATTATTAATCTCCATCCCGTTAAGACCGGAGTCATGGTTATCCACACCAGTATGGAGCTCGCTCTGCATGTTTGTCCCAAGCATGCTCCTGCCACTCTTCATTCTTGGGTGCTGATTCTGGATCTCCAGTCTCCTCACCAGCTCCCGCAGCTTTCGCACCTCCTCTAGCTCCGGGCCAACCTCCTCAGACACCGGCTCCGTCTCAGGGCCCATGGCACAGTTCTCCGTTGAGTCTCGTCCTAAGTCAGGCTCCAGAGCACGATCCTGCTGTATGACCGGGGCATTTCCAGGCACTACCATCATCCAAAGTGCACAGTTTCACTGCAAGACATGAAAAATGTATAAAAGCTCCACAAAGATGCACAATATTTTAAGCAAACTGGAATTAAACACCACAAATTCTGACTTTTATAAGCATAAACTAATTACACTGGTGTATGAGGTGACTGAATTTAAAAAAAAAACTATTGAAAGAAAGCAACTGAAATTAGTATGAAACATTTCAACAAACGCAAATTACTCGTTTTAAACAGCTAGGATGTGCAACTATTGTGCTACAAATTAGACTGTATAAAAGGAAGCTGATTTAATCATGTACAATAGTTGAGCTTCCATCTGTTTACAAACAAAATACATGAGAAAAGCCCTGACCGAGCAAAGTCAGGAAACATCATTAGCAAGGTGCTGACGTCAGACAATGACAGCATTAAGAAAATGGTAAAAACATCCTTTGTTCATTTACCAGGTTTATCCTGGAAAAGCAGAAAAAAAATTGAAAACATTTCTGCATCAACTTAGACCAAAGACCAACGACAAAGGCTAACGACAGGAACTGCAGTTTCCATGGTTCGTGAAAATAAGCCTAACTAATGTCTTTACTGGCGTATTTTCCTGTTACAACCGAAAAGAGGGAGGCAAGCTCTCCGATGCAAACACAGCAAAAACAGAGGAAAAAAGAAAGATATATATCACACCATAAATTACATATCCCAGTAAGTTTCACAAAATGAAGCTATCTCTCTGCTTTTCCTGTCTTAAGTGCTACTATTCATCTGTGGTTGTGCTGACTGAGGAAGAGTGTGCAAAGCCCCATCTCTCGGGCAGCTTTAAACTGCACAGGTATTCAGGCTTCCCAAAAGCCATAAAATAATGCCGGTGCACTTAACATACAGGTTTACAACACTTACAGAATAATAAGGAAACACTAATTTTTCCCTATGCTAGTGATTTACATGAGTTTTCAGTTTCAACACGTGCATTCATTTCTCAATTGAGTCTTCATTGAAGAGCCCCTAATAAAAGATTAATGTTCCACAGAGCCAGTAAAATAGATCCCCCTAAAAAAAAAAAATCATAAATCCTTTCTATTTTGCAGGAGGAGGGCAAATAGATCAACTGACAGACAGAAGAAGGAGCCAGAGGACGCAGCCGATTCAAAGTTTAAAAGATTTGATGCGGGCATTACAACTGCACTTGAAGCCTGATTTTTTTGGCGGCTGTAGGTGTTCTTCCCCCCTCCCTTTGCTGTCTGAAAAATGTCTCCTGTTTTTAAGGCCTAACTGCCAGTGGGCAGAGGAAACCGCGAAAATGAAACGTCACACAAAGTACACAGAGCAAGCAAGGTTAAAAATACAGACACCCCCCCAACCACACCTCAGCATCTCCCCGTTACTTGGTTACTTGTAACAGCAGCAGCTGAGTACGTTTCCTAAAAAATATAGTTTCGTGGGTTATTTTACTTGACAGTTTTTTATTTATTTTGGTCCTCTACATGCAAGATGAAATTGTGAGGCTTACGCTTGAATTAATAATGAACACGAACAGCACTTACGAAGAGCCGTAAGTCAACAGAGCGGAGCGCGGTGCACTCGAAGCACGGCTTTCCAAATCATGCCTTGAAGGAGCATCGCCAAAGTCACTGCGACCTGGGGGAAAAAGCAATTGGATTGGTAGTTACCCAGCGATCCGATCCCTACTCATAAGCCCACGACGGTAAGAAATCTCCCTGCTCGCATCCTCGCAGCTACGGAACCATCCCATCTCTCGCCGAGCAGCAGAACCGGCGCGATTCCCGAAGAGGTTTCAACGCTCGGTATCTCGACGAGGACGCGCCAGCGGGGAGTTTGAGAGTTCTACTGCCACAGCAAAACACAAGGACACAAGGGAGGGGGACGGGGGGAAGCAATGAGCTCCGGCACCCGAAAAATCAGTTCCCCTCCGAGGCGGAGGCGCAGCAAAAAACTGCTTTTTCATTCACGGGGAGGAACGAATATTAAAAGCGTTTAGCCTCTCGCCACAACCAGTAAGTGTAAAAAGCAGCCAAATAAAACTGAAAGGATAGGGGAGGAAGAAAAGAATGTAGATCTGCAACACTCGATTTCATTGTGGAATGGGCAGAAAAAAAAAAAAAAGAAGAAAAAAAAAAAGAAGAATAAAAAAAAAAAAAAAAAAGAAGAAAGGAGCAAAAATTAAAAC